AGGTTTTGAGTACAATGAGTATAGCAATGTATTTTAATAGCTTCTCTGATACTAGGAGTATTTCAACAATAGAACGTTTGTGCAACTCCTATTAAATCCAAAAAGTGCTAGGTACTGATTTTTACTACAACAGTAGATTTCAACAATTTTAAAGCAAGCACAAAATGTCAAAACACAAAACAACTGTTTCTGAAATTATTAATATATTTACCGTATTTGGGTATGTCTATTTCTGGTAAATGTGTTTTATTGTAATTATTTAGCTACAGCAATAAAAAGAGTAACTTTATTTATCCATGCATTTCATGTCTCCCTGCCAGTGTCTGACGTTTACTTTGAATGATCTCACTCAGCAACAACTGTCTTGAAAATATTTTGTTCAGACACAAAAAACAGATCTGAAAAAGGTACAAGACGTTCAGCCAGATTATTTTTCTGCCTGCTGCAGGTAATTTCTCAGCTTACCTATATTTATATATTACATTTATTTAGGCCTTTTAAATGAAGCTTCTGCCTGCATGTTTATAATGGTGATTTTGCATCTTGCTTAACATTCATCCACTCGCGAAGAAAGTTTCAAGAAATTCCTCACAAAGGATTTGATTAGGGTCTGTCAACAGAGAATTTACAGTTTATCTCAGCCCAGGCAGTTGTGTGCACAAATAGTTCCTCCTCCTGCCTGGAGGGCTATTGGATACATTGCTCTCCATATTCCACCTTAGCCAGTGAGTCTGTGGGGAGCAGAGAACAAATATATTACCTAGCACAGGTGACAGGGATGCTGAGCAGGCAGCCCTGCTTAAGTTATTGGCTAAAGGAAGGGAATAAAAATCAGAGGCAGTTATGCAGAGGCAGCCAGTATTTAAAAACCCATCTTCTCTGCATTGTTTGCACAGATTTTATGTTCTACCAAGAATTCTAGTGCCCAGCACTTGCTTTACATAGTATTCTCAACTAGAATTTCCAGCAGTTACAAAATAAGATCACCAATCTGTGAGGGGACTGAGCACTCTGCATATTTAACTCATCCACCCTTTAGCAGCCACAGCTTGTGTACGCTGGATATTTTTGCAATCCTGCACGCAGGAATCACAAAAAGGCTTCAAAATCTGTATCGTAAGAGTAAAATAGACAAATGTAAAGTCCTTGTTTTTAATGGAGCAATCCAGTTTGTTAAAAATATTTGATTTTTTTTCTGTGTCACTGATAAAAACAAAAAGCGCAGAGCACATTATTGTGACAAGAACTCAAGCCCATTAAGTTTTTCAGAAATTAGTTCGTCTGCTCCAGGATCAGAGCACAAACTTGCTTTTAACACACTTTTAAATATTCCCTTTCTGAAGAAGGCTTTCCTTCATTTCTGTAAAATAATAAAACTCCAACTTGCAAAAATGAAAAATAGTGGAAATGTTTATTTCTATATGAGAACAAGTTGGTAAGTATAGACAGAAAAGAAATTATCTTTAATGTGGCAATGCCTTGTAATAATTTAGCACAGAGCTTCTCAAACCTGAAGTTAAAAAATCTCTCCAATTTCAAACAGCCTTTATAAATTATTGTAGCAGAATGAAGAATGAGTCTTCAGACAGAAAACTCCATTTAGTCTTGTATTAGGAGTTCAATTTGTCAAATTGTCTTTATACAACTATGTAATACACTGGAAATGTATTCATTAACAGCATCCTAACTGGCATAAAACCTACCAATTTCCAATTTAAAATGCAGATCATGGAAAAAAGTAACCACGATATTTCCCAGAACAGTATCTGCCCAGAATTAATTTAATATTACAATTTTACGAGAACAAACTGATGTCAGAAACCTGTGACACAGATTAACTTGTAATTTAGACCATCATGTTATTATTAACTTTCCAAGGTAACTACTCCCGTGCCTAACTCAAAAAAAAAATTAAATTGAATATACAGAATTTTTGAGAAGTTCCATTTATTTTTTTTTATTTCATTTCCAAAGATTCTGTATAAGTTCATGATCACAAAACAATTTAACTTATATTTTGAGGATGAGAAAACAGATCTTAATAAGTAAAGAGTTAGCTATTTTGATAAAGAATGTTAAAAATAAAACAAAGGCATTTTCAAGGATCTTCCAAAATCCAACTATTAAAGTAACATGCAATCAATTTTGGAAGCAGACTTGAGCACTACGGCATCAGGCTTCTCTCAGACAATTTTTTGTCACATGGTTTCCCCTTTAACACAATTTCTTTGAGAAAACAATTCACCCAAATATCATTTACTATTAAACATGCATCCTAAACAATAAAAAACCAGAGAACTGCAGAGATAGTAGTTTAGGAAAGCACAGTTGGGAGCTCACTGGGTTTTGCATTTAATGCACTGCAAAACATTTCTGCCTTGTGAAAGGGTGGTGGGGTTGAGTTTTTGGTGTGAGTCTGGGGGGTATTTGAGACCCTTGGTGAAAAAAAATCTATTCCTTAAAATCCACAGTACTAATAACAACAACAGACTGCACCAGCAGCCCTTGAGAGACAGTTGCACCCAACTGTGGCAAGAAGTAGAACATTTCCAGAATCTTAAATATTTCTTTTAATAATTGATGTAGTCATTTTGAATCTTTCTGCATAGGATATGGCGTGTGAGTAGATTGCATTAACACTGCTTAAACATTTCAACTTGTCAGTATGGCCAAGTCGATTTCTGAAATATTTGCTGTATTTTCCCATCGAAACAGTAATAAAGGTAGAATAAATATATGCCACTGCTTTATAATCACTGAACATTAATGAATATTTTATGTCTTTTTAAATCTCCCTGTTTAATTTAAAAGGGTGAAATTAAGTCTCCTCCCTGCAATATGCCAATTATCTGTAAATCAAACAATAACTTGGCCATTATAGTCCTTTTTGTTAATATACCAGAAGCTAATTTGAAAACACTGAGCAGCATTTTTAGGTAATAATTGAATAGTCCTTCCTGCCCTCTTGTGGTTGGCAACTGCATCACTGAGCTTCTCCACCGTTACAAAAATACACCAGGAGGAAAGTAAACTATTAATTTGTTGAAGTGTGAACAAGAGAGTGAAGAGGAAAAAAAATCTAACAGTCCCTGGAGAGGACAGAGACAAAGGAGATGAGGAATGATACCACCGATTCCTCCAAACCACAAGGACTGCCTAGATTTGTTACAATGATTACTCTATGCTAAAAGAAAAAAAAATTAAATTAAGAAGCCATTAGGGAGTTAACATTCAAAACAGTGCTTGTTTTCTATAATTAGACAAATGTTCAGCAACCCTTTTACCTCAGTGAAATCCCCAGGGATTTCCAGGAGCCTTTGCACAGACAGACACGTTCACCTGTTCAGCATCAGCTGCACAAGGGCCAGGGAGCTCCTTTCATTTTAGCCCCTTCACAATTTTATACACTCTGTTGGGTGTGACACTCAATAAAAGAAAGGCAAAGAAAGGTTTTCTGTTCATGTTGAAATGGTGATAGGGTTTTTATTCTGGTTGTTGCAGAGAAAAATAATAATTAACTTTTAAATTATGTTTATTTCATATGGCAACATGATGACCATAACCTGCCATTACCAACAACCAAGAAAACTTCAGTGCATGTAAAGGAAGCTTGGATCCCCCTGGCACTGCTTTCTGGTTCCTTTAAGCCAGGTAAGACCCACCAGCAAAGTAAATAATGCAGCATTGATAACAGACCAAACAGACAATATATATGTATGTGTTTTCTTTTAGAATCTCACCATTTTAAAATTAAAACCACATATTTGGATGATTTATTTCCATTAATGTTCAAATTCTTTATAGAGAGTCAAAGCTCAGCCCTTCAAAAGTCAAACTGACTCAAGTATGTGTATTTGTATCACCACAAAAAGCAAAACAGAACTTACTATAGAATATCTAATCATAAGAAATAGAAAACAGGCTTTCAAATGAGGGAAAGATCAGAATTTTAAGAATAGCAGGATTCACAATGAAAACAGTGATTATTTTTCATTGCTGTATGAGATATCATTCCCATAGTTAATATTACAGAACTTAAATTAATTCTGTCTACCATGTCAGCATGCAACAAGAAAAACTTCAATAAAATCTGTTCAACCCTAAAAGACTGAGAGAAGTGTCAGACCAATAACAGCAAACATACATTTAATTTGAAAAGCAAACATTTAATCTTAATATTTTGTAATGTGAATTCTGAAGATTCACATTTCTAGGTTGTTTGTCAAGTTTCCAGAAAGCAGTGGGTTATATGGAAAATAACATCCACAACATCTGGCATTAGATACACCATGCAGCACTAGACAACAACCTTTGGGCTTGGAAAGGAGTTTTAAAAACATGCAAGGGACTGCTTATTGTGAATTCAGAGAGTCCAGAGTCACACCAGAGATATTTGTTCCTTTAGGACTTAATTCTGCTGAAGTTCTCTCCAATATCACCCCTTGCTGGCCGTTCCACAGAACGGCAGCAACGTCCATTGCACACAAAACCATTTGGCTGCCAGGCCAGTAAGAATTACAGCACCCCAACAGCAACCAGCACAGGGGCTGAGGGGCCCACAAAATGGAGATGGAGCTGGTTAAAGGAAAGGAAGACAGAGAGAGCTTCAAGGGGTTTCAAGTAAAAACCCCTTGAAAGGAAAATAAAAATTTGCCCACAAAATGGAGATGGAGCTGGTTAAAGGAAAGGAAGACAGAGAGAGCTTCAAGGGGTTTCAAGTAAAATAAAATTTGAATAACTCAATAAACTGTTTGTGTATACACAGCTGTTTGTGTATTTTGCTACTACAATACAAAAAGAAACATCCTTTCTGTGTAATTTAATAGAACACCTTTTTATAACTGAATTCTTTAATCAAATCTTGATGATCCAGTTGATGAAAATAAAAAAGACTAATAAAACACAGGAATATCCATCAGGACTATGCAAACCCCCTTTAAGCGAGCTGGCATTAGCTATAATGAGCTACATTTATTCTTCAGCTGTGAAGCAGCACTCACCTCCTGAATGGTACTGCTTCCTGAGAAGTTGAGGTTGTACTCCCGCTGGACTTCTCGATGGGTGACAATCAGCATGAAGTTTTGATTTAATGACTCCTGCAGGGCCCTGAAATGGTTGAAAGAAAAACAGGAAAATCAGGGATAAGCATGTTATAGCTTGTTTTACAGTTAGATGCAGAAACCCCAGGGTACCCTAAACTCTGCATGGACAAGTCCAGGCACAACATTATCATCTCTCTTTTCACTCTTAAATGCAAGGAAGCATGCTGAGAATGACCAAAGGCCATTCCTGAACTCCTTCCTTAATAAGGTGACTGCAGCCTTTAAAGTTCATCTAATGTTAAATATTTTCAAAATGGAGAGAGTCCCATTATCTTCACAAACATCGGGTGTATTTAGCACTCCTAATGCCATTAATAATGGGCTTGTCAGCATATTGATGGCCTGACCAAATATCAAGCTATGATGCACATTAAGAACTGATGGCAAATAGAACAAGGCAAAGCATGCTCTTGCTTCTCAAGGGTTACCTGAAGCAGAAACCAAATGGAAATTCTTCTGCTTAGATTCATTTAAAGCACATAAACCCAGCTAATTAGAACTGGAAAAGTAACCGCAGCAAAATTTCTCATGTAGGTATAGCACATTTAGAAAATTTAGTTCTGCTCACATTGTTTTAAATGTACATTCACAGAGGGTTTTAATAAAAATAAAAACATAATTAAAAATTAAATTTTAAAAAAATCTTAAGATACGGTTTAAACAGGGCAACTATATCTTCATGTTGTTACAAACTTGGGGTTTTTTTCTGATTTTCCTAGTAGTAAAACATCTGGATATTAAGAAGGCATCCTGATTGCTTAATTAGATACAAAATTATGAAGCTATATATCTACTTTTCAAAGCAGAAGGCAGGACTTCTGTTACAAACACAGCAATTATGGCTGTGTGCAATCTTATACATGCTGCAAAACTGCAGCAACACTGCACCACACCTTGGGGTTCTAAACAATATTCATGCAGACTTGACTCGTTCAGTGGCATATGAAATTTAATTGTGCCCATTCAATTATTTTTTTCTTATCACATACACTTAAAAGAATGACAGACTGTGGTTTTTTCCTTCACTATTCTATGACACTTCAACAAGCCATTCCCCTTAGCAGTAAAGGACAAATCCTGGATGCAGACCAGCACAGCTGTATCTTATGATACAAGAAGACAAGAAAGACTCCTCCATCATTTGAGATTTGTTAGTTTTAGCTCCTGCTGGAATTACTGATCTGATGGTTTGCTGCTCAGATGGAAGGAACCCATACAATACTCACTGGATGCTTTAGCAAGAGATAAACAATCTGCTTGAACATCTCAGGGATATTTAGCTTACAAAAATATCTTCACTGGGAAACCTAATTTGGCTCCAGTCACATCTCAATAATCACATACTACAAAACAAAATCATGAAGTGCTATTTCTTGTCATTTATGGTTTTCCAATATGGAAAATAAATACAACTCATTGCCAGTGCTAAGTATGATCATGTCCATGAGAGACACTACAAATATAACTGGAGTCATCAAAACATGTAGTTTTCTGTACTTTCACAAGATTTTCAACAGAAGGCCTAACAATTCTTTAAATACCTAACAGTCCCTCAAAAGAGGGGAAAAAATAAAAGGAGGAGTCCTGAAAAGTTGTATGCCTATTTTCAAAGATAATTCTAATTTGATTGTTATTAAGTTTTGCACCCCATAACCATATTTTCTATTGGCAAATGTTCAGTAGCAACTAAAATATCCTGCTGTGCTTTTTCAGATTCTGATTTTTTATTTGTTTTCAGCGAATACTGGAGGCAAATGACATATTTAATTGCTCTGAAAACATTAATTACTGCATATGTGAATGGCTCTGGATTCCATACAGACTCACACAAGGTTCTGTTATAGCTAATTTTGACTCTATCTCAAAATCTGTAGATGCTAACCGATAATATGACTCATGTTTTCATTCTGTAATTGATGTAAACATAGAATAAACAGGCCAGTCTGATCAAACCCTCAGTCTCTCCAGTTATGCATGATCCCCACACTTCAGTACAACTCAAATTACAGCTTGCTAAGAAAAATCACCCACTCATAGGAAAAGTTTTCCACTTGTGAAAGCAGGAAGTATTTTGGAAAGGAAAAAATAATCTTCAAACAAATTTAAATGAAGCGCCTAAAAATTAAAAGCTTTAATTTTTCAACTAACAATTTTGACACCTCTACTTTTGGGATTTCTAAGCAACACAAGCTGAATGTTGTTAACAAGCAAATTCTCAGCACATATTCATTGACAAACAGAGTGAAAAAAGAGGCTGAAAATTAAGCTGGCTAAAAAAAAAGAAAATTAAAAAAATGAGGAGAAACTAGGTTTGAAAGTGTTAGCAAATGCAGTGCTTGGTTAATTGTTCACTTTTTCTTCAGAAAAATAACAAACTGAGGAATATTACTTCTGCTTACACAGAAATGCACTGGTCAACTGCTCCAGTTCTTGGAGCTCCTACATCAAAATCCCACATGGCCTGACAGCTGTAAAGCTTGGACAGCGACCACTAGAAAAAGGGAGGAGGAATTGATGGCACAACTGATGGCACAATTGATGGCACACCTGATGCCAGCACTGCCCACCCTCTGTGTGGGATGGGGTTGATGTGAACACACAGCCAGAGATCTCTGTCCCTCCCACAATCATTTCCTCCAGCAAAGGGGGATGCAGATTACCCCAAATTACTTGGACCAAAATACATCTTGCCCAAAAATTGTATTTCAGCCATTAAGGCAATGATGAATTTTACAAGGTGAAAGTATTTAAAGGAAACTTCTCACTGGCAGTAAGATGAAGCTTATTTCTATTTCTCTTTAGGTCCACATAAGCATATTGAGAAGACAATACAAGACACATCACTAAAACTTTTGCCTCATTATCTGCAGCTGTTGGATTTTCCTACAAATGTTACAGTTCATTACAATTTTCCAAATAAAATAGCTATATTAAAAGGGCAAAAAAAAAATCAGGGTCAAACTGTAGGTCCCATTAAAGACAAGACAGATTTTTTCCTTCTTTTTCTTTGTTGCTAAGAGAATACAATTAATGTGAGGATTAATTAGAGGGAAAAGAAAACTAAATTCTGGAAAGAGGACTAAAGTAGGCCACTATCATCAGAACATTTTTTCCCTATTGCAAACCCCAGCCTTGAATAGCATTTGCTGATAGGTGATGTACACCATTACAATCATTTTACCTCAGCTGAATGATTCTGCACTCACTGTGCAGCACAAGAGGCAAAGGAATCTGCATTTTTGGGCACCAATCCTCCAACTGATGTACTCTGACTACACCCAAAAAAGAAGTTCAAGAATAGACAAAAGAAAACAGATCAGAGCACAATCATTGCTCTGACCAGGTCTAGCAAGAGACTTGGATATAAAAAACAGATTGGTCCTATCTGCTGTTAAGTGATGGCATTAATGCTCTGTTTTTTTTACATGATACTTTAGTTTTCAGCAGCATTTTTCTTTGAAATTTTAGTAATTTTTAGAACTTGATACCATAAGCAAATCCTTCATCAATTATATGTAAATGCTCCTTTTCATTCCAGTTTTTATGAAATACACTCAGTATTTCCCACTAGGCAATATCTTTCTCAGTCACACAGAGATTTCCCCCAAAACCTCTGATTTTTATATAAACAGGTATGACACAAGGTAATTAACATTTCCATTTTAAACTTACAGATTTATATAAGCTCATGTCAACAGAAGTCCAAATTTACTGTAATTACAGATTATTTACATTAAAACAAAATAAGAAATCAGTATGTAAATGTAATGTTTGTTGTAGCTAATGCAGCAGGAGGTGGTAGATTAGGTTCAAACAGCAATCAGTTAGCAAATCTGGCTAACATGTAAATGAGCAGAAGCCCTTTTGTTTACATTCTATTGCATTTTAAACTTCAGGATTTTTAAACTGTCTCATGAACAGATGGGAAAATAAAACATTAATCTTACCATTCTTATGGAATCTTTCAAAGTAACTAAAGCAAGGCACTGCTCCTGTCCAGCTAAACAGACAGGACTAATAATTGGAGTTGCAGGTTACATCGTTCTTAATTAACACTCTGCTACAGTTGATAACGTACAGCAAGACACCACATCAGCACCACTGCTCTGCAATCATCCAAAGCAGAGGCATTCAGCAATATATGGACCTATTGCTTGAAAAAAGGCATCTGTGGCTTTTTTCTTTTCCACACAGATGATTACACTTGTTAAACAAGTTACAATCACTTAGCAAAATTGCATTATTCCTTATAATATCCATGGTATGCACCTGGGGTTTTTAAGCTTTTCAACTTTCCAGTGATTCATCAAGTATAATAAAGTATCTTTGATTTTCAGCTATATAACAAAGTATAATATACATTATATCCATTATAATGACAACAGCAACAAAAAATGATAAAAAATATCTCCCAGAACACACAGAATAGAAAGGAAAGATGATCTGGATGATCCAGTTCCATGGCTAGACTCCCAAGCTCACACTTTTCACGCTTCCCTCTTGTATCCTCCTAAAGCCATTTCCCCAACAGAGAATTGTCAGCCTTCAGGAAGCATCCAAGGCAACAAAGGGAAGGAACTGCTGAGGAAGGGATTAATCTAATCTGACAAAGCTGGTGCAAGGGATCTACCCCATGGATGCTGAATGATGGACTTTCTTTGGCATCTTTCCTTTCAGGATTGCTTTCCAAGGGAAATCATGTTCTTCTCCACCCACCTGGTAACTTCTGCTCCCACCTGGTAACTTTTGAACATAGTCACTGGTTTTAAGGAGGTCTCAGAGTGTTAGAAAGGTCTCAAATACCAGGTGTAAATCAACAGCCAGGAGGAGGAAGGGGACCCAAATTACCACCCAGCTCAATAAAAGGCTGCATTAAAAGTGCAGTATTTTATACTCATCCAGGTGACCCCTGGCCAGTGATCTCAGAACTATCCACAGGACATGACTTCTCCTTTCCTTTGATAGTACCTGACTGTGAGCTGGAGAACAGATGCAGGGCAGGCCGATACTCTGTGCAAGGGGAAAAATATTACACAAATGCTGCAAAATACACAACTGGAGGCAGCATCAGAGGTAGGTGAGATGATGGGAAGCATGGAAGGAAAGGCTGATTTACTGCAGCTGCTGGGATGAGGCAGGAATTCACCAGAAATCAGATTTCATGATGTCCACAGCTCACAGAACACATGGTTATTGTTCTGGATATCGTGCATGGATAAGTATGGCTTTGCCAGCTGAAATTGTGGTAGCAGGGTGGAATAATACAGGTGGTATTCGACATTTAAATTTAATCTTTCCACCTCAATTTACTAGCATGCAGTAGTAATTCACTGGGTCTCTATTACCTATAAAAGCCTTAGGTAGGCCACTGATGAACAAAGATACCTCAGGAGATTTTTGTTTGTTTAAAAGGCAGGATCACTTTGCCATTACATTTAGATGCTGGTTTTCAGTCAGTTCTGGGTTAAGCCCATTCAGTCTGTCACAATAAACTTCAATGCCTTCATGTTGGAATAGGATGTTTCAGACACTGTTCTGCCCCACTATAAAGAACAGACAAAAACTGGATCTTACAGAGCTGAGGCCAGACTGTTCCTTTTAAGAAGGGCATATAGATAAAATATCACATACTGGAATCTCAGGCTTTTCAAATATCACTTTCTGGAGATATTCAAATCACAACTATTTATCTCTAGTTCAAAACAGAAGGCATTTGAAGAAAACAACAGATGAACTCCCAGAGCAAGAGGCAAAGTTCCTCAACATCCATTAATAATAGATGTGAGCATGACGCTTTTAAAAATTGTGGGTAACAAACTAATCTGAATAATAACTGACCTAACAGTAGGCAGTAAACAGTGTAACTGGGTTTGGTACATTGCTTCAATTAGATGTGTTTTGATCTGCATTGATGCTTTAATTGGAGGCAAGCCTCCCCTTTCATCTAGAATTTATGACTTCAGGAAGATGATCTAGCCTTCAAATTATCCGTGTTTAAATAGCCACTAATTAGGCACCATTTGCTGTCCCAAAGCTACCAACTTTTATCTTAAAAATATCCAGAACTAATCTCCACTATGAAACAAATATAAACTATAAAAGGTAACAACTACTTTGATTTTACTGTCAAGTGAAGTTCTTTAAAACCATTAATCCAATAAAAAAGGCTAAGAACTGTTTTTAAACAGTTTGTTGTTATATACTTTACTGCAGTTGCAATAAACAACTCTCTTCAGACTCCAGTTTTCTCTCCAGAATTAAAACATTCAAACTACAATATACAGCAATACCTGGCTAGAAAATGGTGAAATTGGAAATGAAAAAATTAGCAGCTGTAGTGTCTTTTAACTGTTCTTCAAACAGCTGCTAAGGTACAATGGCTTACTGTCCTCACACACAAATACAATTTGCACATACAGTTCATGTACACCACCTTCTGTTTCAGTGCCATTCTTCCCTCTCTTAATGCTCCTTTTCTTATAATTATTATTTTTACAATTCATATCAGCATTCTTAATTCTTCCACAGACTACACGTTAATGTGCACAAGTACCTTTTAGTAATATACAAAGTACTTTCAGTCCTTAGGAAGGCAGCTACAAATTTCTATTGACTCTCCAAGAATTCCTCTCACCAGCAGAATGTTCTCCTATCACCTACAAGGGCAGAAAGCCAAATCCCTCTCCGGACCAGCTGAAATCCGTGCATTTTGCCCCATTCCAAAGGCATCCCTGAGCTCACCGCTCCAGAGCATCTCCCTTGGCAGGCTCAATTCCCGCGCACCCTCTAGCGGCTACCGAGGAAAATTCCCATTTTTCCTGGGAAACAACAAACAGGGCCGCCTTCGGGAAAGGGAAGCACACGGAAGAAAATTGCTAATTACTTTAAAAGAGTGTTTTCCATATAACATCATTTCATTTCCAAACCTTCGCAATATTCCCTGACAGCAGAAAGAGACCTGGGGGTGCTGCTGGCCAGGGGCTGAACACGAGCCAGGTGTGCCCAGGTGGCCAGGAGGGCACCTGGATTTTATTTCAGCAGGAGGGCCAGTGGCACCTGGATTTCAGCAGGAAGGTCAATGGTACCTGGATTTCAGCAGGA